GTATCATGTCAGGTGGTTGCAGGATTGGCAACGACTCAGCGGATAAACAACGAACCGGTAGGAATTTAACAAACGAGGTTGACTGTCTGAGCATACACGGGCAAATAAGTGCGAGTTCTCTGTGCATAACTGATAGGAAAAAGCGAAGTCAGGTTGTAGAACCCATGGACTTTGGGTATACGTCACCCGGCCTTGGCCTACAGCTTCACTTTGATCATAGCGTATAGCCATAGAGAACTGGCGTTTTTAGACAGCCCACGCAGCCACTCAGCAACGCATCAGGTATTATAATCCGGAGCTGCAAGGGAACGCAAAAAGGCAAACAAATTGAATAACGTGACTGAATCCAGTGGAAACAGCCTAGCTAGGGATAAACGAAAGTGCATGAGGCAAACGGCAAACGCGTACGCAGGCTGCGACGATGGAGAGACCTTCGGGGTATTTTTTTCTTATATCCGCTGCTGGGGACCTACCACGTATCAAATTTGCGTTAATATGAGTCTACGTTACTAATCGAGAGTTGCCAACGACATTGAGCGTATATGCCATCTGAGAAAACACCGCAGATGTGTGGTCTTCTTTTTCACTCGTTAGTGAGCCCCTTAGACCCAGCTTTGTTGACGGGCGGCAAGGTACGACGATTGTTAAGGAAGCCGCAGATTAATGTAACTTGTAGTTCGAATGGATTCCTCTTAGAGTGGTCCATGATGTCTAAGTTGGGCCCTCGAGCCGAGCCCCACTCCTCTGTATGCCACGGGTAACCCAATGGAAGGGGCGTACGCGGCCACAGCTGCGCGCTGTAAAGACTTCTGTGTCGAAAAGAGCTAGAAAGAAACGTCATTTGCTGTCCTCAACAGCGCTCATTTTATCTACGGTCAGTGAGTTAGAGTCGGTGCCTTTACAAGATATGGGCGAGTCTTTATACAGGCAGCTCAACAGAGTGTTGAGAAAACAGGGCCGCGAGAAGGCACTCCGTCTCATTGGCTCTGCATCTGGGTCTTTGCTACGGGACTCGACTGAAATTTCGAACAAGGAAAAGCAAGAGCGGGCAAAGATCGATAGCACCTCGCGGATCTCTCAAATACTGACTGCCAATAGTCTGGTCATCGCTGGACGTCCAAGGCACCGTACTGAGCTAATCCCAGAGGCAGTTCCAAGCTACATTTCACGGACTCGTTAGCCTCCACAGTATGCAGAGAAGGCTGAGCAGCACGCGAATAAACTGGCGTGAAAAAATGCAGACCTTGACTAGAGCTTCGGTATTCGTGTGGAAAACGGATGGTGGATGGGGCATTTGCGTTAGTGGTATGCCCTTGAATACAAATTCTGTGAAGCACAAGCATCCAATATTCCATATCAGCAAATTATTTGACATGTTACACGAACCAGCATTCTACTCGACATTTGACCTCACAGGCGCCCCTCTGCGAATGTCAACGTACCCTCTGACAGGCACATACCACGTTCCACACTCGCACTCGCACTCGCACATTGGAGCATACCTACATGCAGTTTAACCTTGGGAACCTCCAGCAGAAATGCAACAGCAAGTGTATCGGCATATATATGGATGCCCTAAGGAGGAATGCCTGGCTGTGTAAATAGACGACGTCGGAGCATTCAGCCGAAGCATTCGGCACCTACAGCATCAATGGCGCCCGACCCAGCTTTCGCCGTACAAGCATCTATATACGAAGGCACGAAAGTACTCGTTTTAATCAGAAAATGCAACGCCTGAGATTCCGTATTCTGGCTGCAGGAATCGAATGACCCTGCAGATACCGAAGCAATCATGGCGTGGCCTTTATCTCTGCGTACCGGCAAGGACGCTGCGAAGGGCTAAGGGCTTGCACCTTTTTACCAGAACTACACTCCTTGGCTCTTTTGATTACTGCTTTCTTAACTGTCCTAGTCAAGCAAGAATATTTCTTGTATTCGGACAAAGAACGTAGATGTCATCGCATAGACGTCCGTGGGCCGCCTTACAAATTCTCAGGTACTTGTATCGCCCGACTGCGTGCTGGTGACAGGGTGGTAGGTGCTATTCTCCTTCAACAGGCTCTCATCTCAAGAAAATGCTTAATTAATGCTTGTTATGACCGTTGCGCTGAAACCGACCAGCAGTATTCGGTACTGGAAACCACGCAAAAATGCCGGCCCTTCTTATGTGGGCGCCATCTTACCTTCCAGCGCGACCGTCAGTCTCTATTGCGCCCTACGTATAATTTACAAAACTTTGTAAATCTTACACGTATACTCCTTACCTCGAAAGCCTCCTGACCAACGACGTTACACTAACGCACATTAGCGGCATCACCAAGGTGGTCGCAAACGCACTCACGCTATGTCCCAGCAATTCACTATTGCGCAGCGCGCTCTCTCTTGCTTGTGAAAGTTCACAACATCCAGTAACTCATGTGTTTTAACACCCATACATCCACTATTATCGCCGCAGTCCGGAATGGTTAAAGGGCAAAGCACTAGCACGCTGAGGATAAAGTATTGTTGCCTAGAGCAAAGTGTAAATAACATAGCTTCTGCGTTTCGAAGTCGCTTTGCAGTGCCTGTTGGCGCCAAGTGTATGATGATGCTGTTCTATCAAGCTACGGTGGGATTTACACTACATTAAGGCAGCCCTTTTGGTCCCCCTGGTGGGCTGGGATGCATCAGACAACAGAAGGAAGTATGCACACTCAAGGCCAGATCAGCAAGGGATCAAGCGGAGAAATCCTCCTTAATCCGGCCTGTTGTAAGCCCCTCAACTGTTGAAAGGCTGTAGACGTATCTGACTGTTGGCTTGAGTGTTGGACTGCCGAAAGGCAGGGGTCAGGGTAGACTGCATCTAGGTTGCTGTGAACAGATGCAGCAGATATGGTTTATTCAATCCCTTGCTCGAGCTCGGTCATGATTCAGAAAGTTTCTCAATTATACTAAGCTCACCTCTGGAAGATTCACGGATTTCTATGAACTAGCATCATGGATAATGATCTGGATGCTTCTCAGTGCGCGTTTTCGGCTGCTTTTCGAGCCGCTTCCACGTTGGCCGTAATATGAACACAGTGAGTCACCTATAAGCATGTGGGAAGAGAGAGCCCACAGGCCGCACTCCTCTGCAATAGTTGCGATTCCATGCATACAAAAAACTAGTTGCTTGGCTTAAGCTTATTCGTTATGCTACAAGATATATCATGCAACACCATATTTTTGCTTATAATTTGTTCTCCCGCATTTGTGGGGTACACCGAAACGCCCCTCTCCGTTGCCTGCTTAGGCCCAGGGACTCAGGGCCAACACACGCCCTTAGCCGTCAAGGAATTCAGTAAATAGATTAACATTACAGGCGAACAAATTTACTATGATCCAAGAAGGCCAAGCACGAAAGTATGATAGGGGGTGGTCGACGGTGCTTGCTCAAACCTGAAGATTTGATTCTGGTGAATCAGCAGACCGTACGAGGTGCGCCAGGTAACCAGACGAAGAACCTTGTACCCCGAAGGCTGGACCGTTTTCCATTGTCTCAAAAGTCGAATCAGTTTTTGTATAAGTTGGATATACCGCAGAACTACCGGTATTACATACTAATAGCGTTTTAGATTTCTCGGAATTATCGGATGCATGCAAGTCATTTGTGTGGAGCCAACGTATCCACAAGGAGCATAAGAAGGGCTAGATTCTGATAATTTTGAAAGCTGACAGCGCAGTAGATGAGAGTTGCTAGTTTAAAAGACTCTGGACCTCCAGCCTCAGTGGCTGAAGATGTGTTAGTAACGAGCTTTGTTGCGAGCTGGTAAAATCGCAACTTTGTCTGGTTTATATCACTAGGTGCCATTGGACGGTATTCCTCGGCTCCACTGGCAAACGGCTTCCACCAGCCCATGCACTCTGCCCAAAAGGCCTGTTCCGTCCATGGAGTTCACTTAAAAGTTCTTGTACGGCATTGCTTTGGTGTTTCTACACTCACACGTGTGCGCAGGCACTCCTAGGTATGTTGTCCCTACACTCTTTCTTATGTATTTTTCTAAGATTTGGAAATAGACTATGCTGCATACTTCGGCCACATCTGCATGCAGGCACTGCTCTATAATGGGTGGAAGCACTGCTGAACTAGTGTGTATTTCTGATTCCCCGTACACGTCTACTTGTTTTCTGCTGCTGCATTGCACGACAGCACGAGGCTCACATATTTCAGCACTCCACCGATAGTCAGCCATTGCACCGTCTCGATCGTGTTGGTTTGATCTCCACTTGTTTGTTGCCTATTGTGTTTACCTTTCTTCCCGTCGATTTTTGTTTTCGGGCTTATATGTCCACCTTACTTGTCTCAGTAGCGCGGATTTCGCGGTTCTATCTGCATGAAGGGTGGAAAAGGGCTGGATGGCTTTCAATGCCGTACTTATTGCTCGTCTTGGCGGATTAATATAGAATTAGGGGGTCCACATTTAAACTGGGGGCCAAGACGCAGCGGACTAAGGGGCACCTAAAGTCATTTTGCTCGGGTGAATATATTTAATCATACAAAGTAAAAACTTGGCTGCTGAATTTTCTGGTCATACCCTTTGTTCAATGTAGATTAGAGTTTGCTCAACTAAATGCAAAGCAATGTTGTGTGTATACGCCAGATGCTAGAGGCAGCTACTTGTCCACTTGCGCAGGCGTGGACTGCTTGGAAGTTGCAACAGCGTGCACTCTAGCTGTTCCTCTTCATTCGTGACCGAACTCTGAGGCTGTACAGCAGAAAAATACCAGAGCTCCTCGATGAAGACACTCAGTAACTTTCTTTGAAGCCTACCCTCAGTCTGCAGCTAAGCGCTTCTGTACAAAGCCGTTGGATGACGCACCAAAGGGCCTTTAATGTAAATTTATTCCGGCCACCTCTTCATGCCCAGTATTCTAGTCCCATGTGTAGCTCAAGTGCGGAAATATTGAAGCACATCTGTGCAGTATTCAATACGCATGTTTGCTCCAGCTAGTATTAGACAAAGCTGCTGTTATCTCTCCCTATGAAAAATCAAGGGGATCCTTGCTGGGGTGCGGAGGCAACCACAAGAGCATCCTGGGGTCACTTAGAAACTTATTGTGCCTGGAAGAAGAGATACTGGGGACGAGAGAGCCGTTTATTTACCCTTGCGAAGGCCTCTGGAACAAGGAACACAGTAAGCCTGGTACTTCAGGTTGGTGTTTGTGTTTATTTATAAACACAAACCCAAATAGATCGCATAGAGACTTTGCATTGCAGTACTTTATCACTGAAGTTATAATCTGCTGCTAAGCGGATAGTGGAATCGAGGGTGCGTTCGCGTACCGAAAATGCAGAGCACTAGGGATAAATAGGAGAAAAGTGAGAGAGAAATAGAGAAATTCACCCATTGCAGCATTTTTTGTGGCAAAGCAACCATCAGTAGGCAAGTAAAAATGCATGAGACCCGATTTTCTTGAAGGGTCACACAAGAGACCTTCATTGACTGGAAGCCCAGAGGGACTCCAAATCTTCGGGATTTTGGGGACACAGGCAGCAGCAAAGCCAGCTTGTTAATGCCTCTGCACTTGTGCATTTTGATGATGCTTAACAACTTTTACTTTACTTTTTAGAGTCTAGAGTTCTGTCCCGTGTTTGAAGACGGGGGGCCCTCTAATAAGGGCCCCTCTCGATGCTTTCCAGGTGGTTCCCTTGGAACGCCTCAGCTGCTGGCTTCAAAAATCCAAAGCTCCCTTTGACCACCAAGCCCACGTACAGAAGGCAGTAGCAGCAGCAATAACGGCTCCTCCTGAGGAGCATCAAATGAGTTGCACTCAGCCCTTTTGTCATATACCCCTGCTGCAGCGCGGACTGGTGAGCAGTAGACGAGCGAGCCATTTTTGTCAGCTACGCGTACTTCCCTGCGGCAACCCAAGCGGCCGTAGCATCAGCACTCTCAGGGCAGGATTCTGGTGCAGGAAAAGGCCTTCAAAGTTCCCAGCAACGCCTGTGAACCGAGGTCTATCCCAAAGAGCCGACCAAAGGCCTGGGCAAATAGCAGCTGAGCCACAGGATCTTGCTAGCGGTGCCGCTGCTGTTGGTACTGACAATGCCGTGGAAGGGGCAGCACAGACTCAGTTGGCCACTCTGGAACGGCTGCACCGGCAGCTTACCCATGCAGTGGAGCTGCTCGCAGATACCACAGCAGCACAGCGAGGACAGCGTCAGCACCAGCAGCATGCTGCTCGGCTGGACCCTTTCCAGGCAGTAAAAGACTTATCAAGGCTTCAACTTATTCCTGCTTCCGTCCACCTTGCTCGGAGTTTGCTGGCCTTTTTGAAGCAAGAACACACGGCTTCTTCTGGGAAACCATGGCAGCGGAGCTCTCGTGCCCCCACAAGCGGCGCCATCAATGGCAGCAAAGGGCATAGTGCCGTCAAACCATGTAGTATGGAGCAGAAGCACCTTAAGGAATGCCTTGACGCACTGGCAGCAGCCATTAGGGATTCTGATATCCAGCCTGGTGTACCAGCAGCCCCTGCAGTACCACCAACTGGAGTGACGGAATCAGCCCACGTGCAGTCAGCACGAGTTGCCGTATTGCTGCTGCAGTGCGTATTGCACACTGTGGAGCAACGGAGGCTAGGTGTCTGGTGGCTGCTGCCCCACATTAGCGCTGCAGCAGATGGCCTTTCGGCCTCCGCAACCACGCAGCTGCACCTTCAGCAGGTACACGTGGCGCAGCCAAAGCTACCAAACTCACAGGGGCAGCAGGTCCTAGAGGAGGAGCAGAAACCTTTTTCAGAAATATGGCTTGTGTTGCAGCGAATGGAACTCGTTGTTTTACTGAAGCGCAGCGTGCGCCTATTGAGTTCTTTGCTGCCTTACATTTCAAATAGCTCCTCGATGCAGAAGCAGCAGCTCCAGCATGAGTCTAAACTGAAAGCGCAACGCGAATCTTGCCAGGGGGTACAGAAGGGACACTCATCCCACAAGGGGCAGGGGGAGGAGCACCAGCTACAAGGTAGCTCGGCTACATCATGGATATCAGGCCCCCCACTTCAAGGTGACACACAGAGCTCCTCAGCGGCCGCAGCGCTTCTATCCATCTTCCAGCTTCTTGACACTGCAGTGCGGCTGTTGCATTCCACTGCAAAGACGCAGCATTTGCAGCACGGGGTACTAGGCGTCCAACCAGGCGCTTCCCGCACCGAACCGTCTATTCATCACCAGATCCGTTTTAGGATTGCTGTAGAAAGCCTTCCGCTAAGTCCACCAAGTTGCACTCCACCACGCGCAGCACCAGCAGCATTACCAGCACCAGCAGGAGCTTCAGCAATCGAGGCTGCCGAAAAGGAGCTCCGGCACCTCTCCCCACTGCTTCTATGGCTCATTCCATCGCTGTGGACAGCCGCGTACCACGTTGGGGTATTCAACCTTTGGGGGCTTTGGGCTACCACTGCTCACCTGGCGCATCAGCAACGGCAGCAACAGTGCCTTCAACAGCTGCAGCTCCCGGATTTGAGTTTGCTGCTTATCGCAACCTCCAGAGTGTTAGCGCTGCAAAAGCAGCACGAGCATGATCAACTCCAGAAACAGAAGGATAATCCAGGTCTTGCTGATAGCCTTGCTTCGTGCAAGAAACAGCTACTGCGCCTTGCTGCGAACTGCTCACGCCGTGCAGCCATGCTGCTGTCCAAAACCCAAGGGATAGAGCGTGAAGCGCCAGCGGGCACTGAAGAAAGTGAAACTTCAGTAGCACTAACGGCGTGGCCAGAGCAACAGCATCAGCAGAATCGGCACCAAAAATTGGAAGAGGCCGTCGAGAAGCAAAAACAGCAGCATTGGCAGCGACCGTGGTTTCGCCAGAGCTGTATTATGCTTCTCGGGTTGACGCGGTTAATGCAGCAGGAGCAACTGCTGCTTCCCGCTATGTTGCGGTATCGTCCCGTGCAGCAGGCATTACGTGGGGAGCAGCTAAGCAGTGCCGGCAGAGAAGACAGCATGCCTTCGAGCTTCTCTTCAGACACAGTAGAGCTTGTTGCAGGAGCCGCGGCCTTCATGACTTCCTTTGCAATACGTCTTACTGCTGCAGAATGGCTGCCACAAATGAAGGGGCGTTTGCAGCCAGATCAAGCACGGCAGCAACCATGTTGTCAACCCTCCAAACGGCTCCATGTCAAGGCAGCAGCAGCATCAGGGCCGATGCCACCGTGGCTTTTAAGTGAATCAACGCCAGCACCAGAGACTCAGCGCCGTCAAGCATTTCCAGCGAGAACCTCTACGGAAACAAGAGCACAATCAGATGGGCTTGTCCATTTATCAACGGGTGAACAAGTGTTTCTTTCGGGTCGTGATTTTTCACAGCTGCTGCGCTGCTTTGTTTCGACTCGTTTTCTGCCGGCTTCGCTACTGCAGAAATCGCTGGCCTTTATTGCCGCATACCCCCAAGTTGTAACAGGGGTCCGGCAGATGCATGCAACTAATTCTAAAATCCCGGTGCTGCGCCTCTCGCCTCAGGACGCCGCATTGCTGCTGTGGGCCATCGGTACCTCTGCTGCATCTGTTTTATCTCCACGAAGGATGCAGCGGTACACAAGCAACAGCGGCGTGTCCTCGCCTCGGGTGTCACCGCGGCACCTTGTAGTAGACCAGCCTGCCGCTGCAGCTGTGACTATTGCTGCTACAGCTTGTGATGCTTCAGCTGCCGATTTTTCCGAGTCCGAGCTGCAGCAGTGTCCCTCTGTGTGTTCAAAACTTCTTTTCACAGTTCGGAGAAATCTTAGAGAGCTGGCAGCCCAGCTTCTGCGGGGTCACGCTTCAAAGGCTCCAGAAGGAGTTGCTGTTGCTGCTTCGACTAGTGGCCGCAGTAGCATCACCAGCAGAAGCTGCTCTTGCACGATAGACAGCCAAGCAATCGCGAATGCTGTGTGGGGCTTGACGTGCTGTGGGCTGCTTCAACGGCGGTTGCTAAGAACATTGTCGGTCTCTCCCGTCTTTCGTCGTTGCTTCCGTGATTGCAGCAGCATCGCCGAGAAGCAGCAGCTGTTGCGAGCTGCGTTGCTGCTACGGCTGCAGCGTTCAGGTGCCCCCGCTCCAAATGTCTGTGCTGCTGCTTTCGCTGCTCGCCGGAAGCAGAGTGGAGCAGGTGTCCGATTCGCTGGTGCAGAATACGGGGGCTCTTACGTAAGAGGGCCACGTTTGGTAAGAGCTCCACAGGCACTTCACCACCAGCACAAGACGACACGAGGAAGCAGGGGTTCTAGACAGCTGCAGATGCGCTGCAGTGCGGAGACTTCATGCAAGCTACGACCATCCCTGTTACAGCAGCAGGTGCTAAGCGAGGTGCAGCAGCTGTTGAAAGAGCCGGCTGGGGCATGTGGTGCGCTGCCCTCGGAGACAGCTGCAGCAAGACCCCCCAACGTTGCGGTTGTGCACGAGTGCGCTGTTTGGCCTGGAGTACATCTAGACATTGCGCTGGTGCAGCAGCATCTCAGCAAGCTGCAACAGCAGGCTAGGATACCATGGGGTCGCCTCAAAGGGGGTAAAACTGTCCGGCGGGTGGCCATCGAAGTAGACGGCCCCTCGCACTTTCTCCTTAGTGTTCGTCTACGCAGCAGCAACGGTACCGATAGCAGGGTTTGTACTGGACAGCAGCAAAGTTCTGGCTCCTACAGAGGCAGTAGTAGCAGCAATGCAGGGGTGTTTGTTGAATTGTGGCCCGATGGCGGCACTGTGCTCAAGCATCGACTTCTGCGCCTATTGGGGTGGGATGTATTACATGTCTGCTTTGGTGATTGGCAGAAGCTGCAAGGGAATCGTGCTCTACAGCAAAAGCTATTGCTTCGTTATCCTGTGTTGAGGGAACTGCTGCGAATGTAGCAGTGATCCTATTCCACGGTTTTCCCCAAGTGTCTACTAGCAGTGCCTGCCAAGGCGCGTACACTTTCCGAAAGGCCACAAAAGTAGCACCTCAGTTATTCGCCGCTTGCACTTCTGCGCATAAATTCTATTGTAGTGCCCCGAAAGATACGGCGACTCTGCATGAGCGGCAGCTGAGCTTGATTCGCGAGGCTTGAATACAGCCATCTCACTGAACCCCCTTCGTAAAGCTTTGTTTTGTTCTTTGTATATACATCCATAACATGCAACCAAATTACACATGGATACGCAGTCTAAAACTTTTTAGCATCTGCATGGCTGTAGCGTGCACCAGGTTGTACTATACAAGCCTCCAAGGCAACCGCTCGCTGTAGCAAATGGTCCCATTGACGACTCTGCCACGCATTATTTTTGTGCAGCATTGCAAGCTCCTAGGAGCCCTCTTCCTCTATTTATGTCTCCTCTTTTGCATGGCCAAAACTATTAAAATGTTGATGGCGTGGTTTCCTGTGTTCGTATATGATCATTGTGGTTTTTTTCGCTCTCGTTTCGTTTTTGTAAGCCGCTGAGTGGGTGCAAAGCATCTAGACACCTGCAAAAGGAGAGCCTCAAGCTGTCCCTCCAAAGGCCGTTTGCTTCCGACATGGTAGGTTTAGGGGCTAGGGCCCTTCCCTTTCTAGTTCAAAACAGAAGGACTAAAAGGAGACAGCCACTGCCGGTGACCGTCCCACTGCATGCTTGGAGCAAATCACCTTTGAGTGAAATATCTTTACCCCAAACCTCCCCAATCTAGCTGAAACTCGAGTTTTTGGCTTTATATGCACAAGCCAATAGAGACTGAGCAGCTACCATGGGGAGTGTATCTAGGGAGCGTGGCAGAGTAGGATTCCGGGGGCCACAAATGTGGAAAGAGCTTGTTCTGGTTACATCTGATGATTCCTTGTCTCACAATTTTAGTACAGTCTAATTTCACGTATATACATGCATCGGGTCTAACGGAATGAGGAATAGCGTTGCCCATAGAGGCAGTGAATGCTGAGTCAGGTCACCTCTCACGACATATTCTGCCAGAGAAGAAATGAAAAGGAGTGCTCTCAAGGTTGTCGGCTAAAGGCTTTGAAGATAAATTACCCTGCGAGGCATGACAAAAATATATATATCCTCGGCTTGAGGAAGGATTATTCTCGGAAGAATCCTTCAATGCCTTTCCTTTTCTTCCGTCCTTTCCCTCGACTCTCGTCCTGTTGTTGCCTTTTCTTGGCTCCTTCTTGTATATTCACCCGCTTTATTTGCTCCTCACTTGCCATTTTACGTTGCCTCTCGAAACAGACGCGCAAGAATATTTGATCAAACAGAGCAGCCCTTCATTTGGGCTTAATGCGCCCAACAAATTTTTGTGGGCGAAGAACTCCAAAGCCCGCGCAAACCGGAAGAGCATTGTATTCCCTGTCTAGTGGCCTCAACATGTGCCTCAGTGCTACGACCTCAATCTCTTGCTGCTGTTATGTCTGCAGCTGCTGCTCTAAAGCATTGTCATAGAGCTTACACGCGGGCTCGTGGTTACAATGCCCGGAGTCAGCCCCCTTCCTCCTACAGAGGCGTACGCGCTGCTTCATAGGGCTCCACGTGTGTGGCCTCCCCTGAAGGGATATTCTGAAAGGCCTTCTAGTAGAGGCATGCCTTTCAGAAGCAGCAGCCCGCTACAACCCGCCGCTTCGCCACCTCCTGCCGCCCCTGCACAGCACAGTAGTCAAGAAACCAGCATCATAAGGAGTAGAAGTAGTTTTATCACCTCCATGCTGTCCGTCAGGCAGCCTTCACTGCGTTGCACATCAAGCCAACAAACCCAGCAGGAGGTACAACTAACCTCTCCTGCCTTTGAGGATGTTGCAGCATGCACTTTGTCTGATCCTTCAGCTGGTATGAATGTGACAGATGCTGCTATTTCTCCTCCAGAAAGTTGCAACCCGATTGCGCGAAGTGGTTCTTATGTTCGTACACAGCCTCGTCACGTTCAATCAAATGTGCACAGCCTCTCATCTGGTTGCTTGCCGCACCTTCTCGCTTTGAAGCCACAGCTATATGGTAGCCCCGAATTGCCTTCCTGTTGCATGCATCCCCAGTGTGGAGTACAGCAACTGCAGCCGGCGCAACAGCTTTGTGGACTTTCGGCCAGGGGGGACTTAGTTTCATGCTGTCGCTGTTCAGGGCGAGCTAAAGGGGCTCTTCTCCGGCACCCATGCCTGACAACTGAGCAGCGGCACCAGCGATGGCGTCACTGCAAGCACGACATGCGGCTAACTCCGGCTGGTGCGGTCGCTGTACAGGCAGCACTTTCTCCTGGCTCCACCAGTGCTGCATTAGAAACAGCGACGGGCAAGGGACTTTCTACGAATACCATGGCAGTAGCAAATGGAGAGGCAGCAGCTGAGGTTGCTGTGGGGCGTGACGGGGGAGAGGAAAAGCGAGTGGTGGCTTATACTGGCCCGCTGAAACTCAGTAAGGGCCTTTCCCGCTGCACTAAGAAGCACAAAGGGGTGCAGGCAAAGGGGTCTTCTCCGTCGACAGCAGAAGAAATGGCCGCAAGCCCATCAGTCGGCATCACTATCGGCCGGTACAACCCCAGAGCGCTCCTACCGCTTGACGGACTGTCACGCACCGTGGGGACAGAGTCTCTCTGCTTGCAAAATGGCAGCAGAAATGACAACAACCGAAATAGCAGCAACGGTAGCAACAGTCGGGTAAGCAATCATGCTCCAGCTTGCAGTTCACTCACGTGTGACGCAGCAAGGGCAGCAGCCGCAGCAGCAGAGGCTGTGGCTGCCGCTGCATTCAGTTTCGCAATGCGCTCACAGCCGCAACAGGTACTGCTGAATTTGAAGGCGGGAAAAGGGGTAGCAGCTGCGGAGTTGTCGACGCCTACTAAACGTGAGGTTGCGCTTGGAGGCGATGGGCTCTGCCGGCCCTGCTTGCCCCTGAAGGACCCCTTTTCTCTGCAAGTGAGAGAGGCTCTTGCAACAGCTTTTGCTGGCAACACTACAGCCGATTCGCAGGAGCACCAGAATCCAAGCCCGCAGCGGCTGCATAGAGTCCATCGGCCACATTTATTGGCTCAGATAAAGCAGCGGAAAGAGGCGGCCGCAGCAGCAACTGTACCAACAGCAGGGCGTCCCCACTTTCTTTCCGTTTCCCAATGGATGACCCACCCCAACGCAGCAGAGCCTAGAGATGTAGAGAACAGCCCACCAGGCATGCTAAAGAAAATCTTGCCTCACTGCACTCAACAGCTGCCAAAGGTTCACCTGGTATCTACTCGTAATCAACGCAACGATAAGCACCCGCCTTGGCCTCGGTCGATTCAGGCTGCAGCAGCAGTGGAAGCCCCTACTCAAGCCCAACGACAGCAACTACCACAACAGAAGCAGCAGCAAGTGCATGTGCAGCACACAAAACTGAGAGCTATGCGACGCAGGAGTTGCATACTTCGGGAGCGGTGCCCCGAGCGCGATGCAGTGTGCGACGCACTGCATCTCGCAGACTCTATTGCAGCAGAACGAGACTGTCAAAGGCCTAATCCACCCTCTCCCCCTCATCACAGCAAGCATGCAAGCAGTTTCAGTAATAGCCCCTCAGGAACCTTTCTCTGCATAAAGGCCGCTACCTGCAGCGACCTACCGGAAGATGCTGCCAGCAGGGCCGCTGCAACTTTGGCTGCCGCTACTGGTGAAGATGACCTGGCGCTCACTGCAGATTCACGCCTCTTTGCTGAGGCAACATACTGCGGGATGCCGCTACAGGGGGCATCCCTCGAGTGGTGTGGACAAGCCCAAGATGAGGTCCGCATAAAGTCCAGCATCTTTGCACACAGCCAAGGGTGGGAGGTTATGGTGCTTGGGAGCTCAGAGGCCAGCACTCTGGTGAAGGCCTGTCTGCTGCTGCTGTTTTTACTATGCCCGCCTCCGCTGAACCTTGACAAACCTGGTAGCTGTGGCTTCTAAGGGCTGCTAGAGGGCCCCTTTAGGTCGGCTCTTTAGCATGCTGCATCATCTAGTATCTGTGTTCCGCACCAGCAGGACGTTTTGCAGTGTGGGTATCTCGACATGCAGGAAGCTTCTATGAGAGAGACGTCCCAGCAAAGCGTGTTGAGTGTGGAGAGACGAAGAAGGGGCAGGAACCCTAGGCAGCAACTGCGCCAAGGGCACTGGAAAAAAACCCATGAGGAGCAGCCTCACGGGGGGTTGAAAGCGAAAGCAACAGTAAGAGAAGCTCAGGTAAGACAGCACGCCCCAGTAACTCGGCGTTTGCCCCGAAGCCCTTTGACTCTCAGTCAGGATACGATGATGCAACCCAACTGCGGCAAGAGCAGATGGCACAGCCCCGTATCGGCAGGAGCAGAAACAACAGCAGGACGAACCCCAACAGCCCAAACAGAGAAGGCAGCAAGCCAGCTACTTTTATGTGGCGATTTATCGGAAGAGGTACCTGAAGCCCTTTGGGGATTTCTCCCAGCCGATGAGATGAAGCTCTATGAGAGAGGGCGAAGCAGCTCGTGGCATCTGTCGAGGCTGCCCTACGCTGACCTTGGTTGGAAACAGCAGTACAGTAATCCACCTAAACGTCCGGGACAAGGCTTGGCTACAGCAAAAAGAGTAAAGAAAGCCGAGATGCCACCAGAGAGAAAGCACTGGGAGGGTGCACAATGCAACGAGGAAAAGTCCTGTTCGGTGTACGCTGTAGCCGGTGAGACATGTCATATTGAGGAGAACAGGTCTCCTGTAAATAATTTTCCGCTGCATTACTCAGAAGAGCCAAGCGCTGCAGGAACAGCTGCAGGTGATTATGCTCAAGCAGGAGTGTTAGCCTCTGCTGAAGCCCGAGCCTCAAGCGCGGCTTCTTCAGCGCCAAATTTCGTTGGCGGTCTTCGCCAGTACAGCACCTCACATAGAGTAGAACTGAGGCAAGGGCAACGAAGTGATGCCCTAGGCTTGAGCCCTTTAATA